TCTCATGCTGCTTGGCCTGCTGTGTTCATCCAGCTCTGCACCTTGTTGTCTTGGTGTTTATACTGTCTTGGAGTTAGATCGTGGTGCAGGTCTCACTATAGGACTCGATCATATAACCTGGGCTGACACTCCACTGCAGTACTGAGTGAATCCTGTGTTGGAAATACTGTCTTATTCAAAGAAAAGGTTGGGAGTTTGCTCAGTTTCCTGAGCATCATTTATCTCTGTTTTTGGCAAATATGACAGCCAAGTTGCACATAGCCAATTCATGACTCTGAAGTCGTCATTTATATTTGCTATGAAGTGCTTTGTCATAACGTTGAGGCTGTGAAAGGGGCTATATAAAATGTGCATTTGCTTGATTGTTCTTGCCTGTATTTCTGAAACTACACTTTCTGCCTTTTATTTCCTCCCCTGTCCACAATGACTCCAGATTCTCCTTTCAATTCCGCTGAAGAAACTCTCACTCTCGACTCTTATTTTGTAATTCCCCTCCTTAGCTTCTACACATTGTATTTTGCTACATTAAACAATATCTCCCAATTTGTCTAGGCCTTTTCTAATTAATCTGTTTTGTGATATATAATGCCCATTTAATTTTCTGTTAATAGATTGAGTTGAAAATTGTTTACTTGCAATTTTTCATAATTATTTATTTTATTTCAGATTTAAAATGAATGAAACTTTACAATAAATGACAACTAATATTATTGAATCGCTGTTTTAAGAGTACCGACACCAGTTTCTAAAATAGGATTAGTTAAATAGCTTTATAGAATCTCATTGTCATAATGATGTAATCGCTCCTATTTTCTGCACATCTTTTTGTATTTCAGCTCTAAGTAAACGGCATTGTTCTTTGCTAAATCCCAGAGAAACTCCTGGTTCTTTGGTAAAAACAGCACAGACATCAGTCTTTTCCCCTATTCAACAAACTCCATGTTCCAGCCCAACAGGTACTGAAGCTTCCAGGTCATCAACATACCAAAGATCACTTCCACAGACAAAAGATGTAAGATTTCATGTCTGTAATTTATTAGAATTGCCTAAACCTATCGCTATTGTTTGGTCCTTGTATGCTTCTTTGTTGGATGTATCCCAACACTGGAGTGTTGGGAGGAGGAAGATAGCATAAATGAGAAATTCCTTCTGAATATTGCAAGTACCCAAGTAGGGAATTAGGAGAGCAAGAAGGGGCAGTGAAATGACCTTGGCAAGTAGAGTTAAAGAGAATACCAAGGCATTCGATACATACATTAAAACGAGAATAACTACGGAGATTGTAGTACCATTCAACGATAAAGGAGGGAACTTGCACTTGGCAGAGGGTGTGGGTGAGATCCTAAATGAATACTTTGCGTCGGTATTCACCCAGGAGTAGGATTTGGAAGAATTCTTAGGGATATGAATTATGCGCATTTGGAAAAGCATGGCCTAATTAGGGACAGTCAGCATGGCTTTGTGCAGGGCAGGTGATGTCTTCCTTACCTGATTGAATTTTTTGAAGAGGCGACAAAGGTGATTGAGGCAGAGCAGTGGATGTTGTCTCCATGGATTTTAGTAAGGCTTTCAGTAAGGTCCCTCATGGTAGGCTCATCAGAAAGATGAAGATGCATGGGATTCATGGCAACTTGGCCACATGGATTCAGAATTGTCTTACCCAAAGAAGGCAGAGGGTAGTGGTGGAAGGGCGGTTTTCAGGCTGAAGATCCGTGACCTAATGGTGTTCTAAAGGTATGCATACTTGGACCTTTGCTGTTTTACATGTAAGTCATTTATATATATCAAAATACCAGGGTGCTGCCTGGATTAGAGTGTACGAGCTATAAGGAAAGACTAAAAAAACCCACGTTGTTTTGTCTGGAGTGGCAGAGGCTGAGGGGAGACTCGATAGAAGTCTTTAAAATTATAAGATGCATAGATAGGGTTGACGGTCAGAATCTTTTCCATAGATCATAGAATCCCTACAGCGTGGAAACAGGCCCTTCAGCCCAACATATCCACACCGACCCTTGGAGCATCCCACCCAGACCCATCCCCCTAAGCTACACATCCCTGAACACTACAGGCAATTTAGCATGGCCAATCCACCTAGCCTGCACATCTTTGAACTGTGGGAGGAAACCGGAGTACCTGGAGGAAACCCATGCAGACATGGGGAGAATATGCAGACTCCGCACAGACAGTCATCCAAGGGCGGAATCGAACCCTGGCCCCTGGTGTGTGAGGCAGCAGTGCTAACCGTTGAGCCACTGTGCAGCCCTTTTTTAGGGCCCTTTCCCAGAGTTGAAATGTCTTCTCCTTTCACCTTAAATGGATTTCCCCCTGCCTTAGGATTAAAGTTCAAAGGAAATGTGAGGAGCAAGTTTTTTACAGAGTGGTAAGCGTCTGGAGTGCACAGCCAAGCATGGTGGTGGAGGCCGATACGACGGGGCATTTAAGGGATTTTTTTAGATAAGTACATGAATATACAAGGAATGGAGGGATATGGATGCAAGGGCAGCCAAAAGGGATTATTTAATTTGGCCTCCTGTTCAGCACAACGTCATGGGCCGAAGGGCCCCTTTCCTGTGCTGTACGGTTCTATGTTCTATATATTAATTAAACTTTATTTTCAATATAGCCATAATGTAAGAAGGTTTCTTCAAGGATGAAGTGGCCATTTTCCAAAAGATTTCGTAATAATAGAGATTTATCCTTTGTCTGACAAAGGCATGATTTTGATTAAACCACAGGAGGAGGTTATTTGATCTAGATATGTCTATCCTAGTCTTGTTTGTTTCAGATGCTAGAGCATTGAGGTGTCTTCATTGCTTTTTGAATGGGATTGGTTTAAAGATGAGGGCATCCCAGTCAATGGGCATAGTAGCTGTTTGTGTGTACTATTTGTGAGGATGAATTTGAGGATAAAGAACAACGATAAACTTAGCCAGGATTAATTAAGAACATGAGTTATTATTGTCCTTGTGAATTGACCATCAAAGGATCATAAATCCTCTGCCACAACAATTGATTGGGTTTGTAAAGAAATAGCTTTTAGAAAATGAAATGAATTGTGATCACTTTGTATGTTAATTTGATTTTGACTGATAGACTTTTGATTCTTGCAACCTAATTGATTCAGACTTTATGTAGGTAGGTGAGCCACATAGATCATTAGGTTCCAGATTTCATTGTTGAACTCTACTCATCTTAATTGGAATGAGAGAGATTGTCCGAGAAGACCTTGGTTATTTCCACGCTAGGAATAGAGAAATTGGCTGAGAATTTCCAGTCTGATTTAGTGACCTTCCTTCGAATTCTTCAAGTGGGAATGGGATTTTCCTCACCACCCTATTCAGTCAAATAGTCTTTTGCCATTTATTTTCTCACTTCATACAATGGTGATTGGTTATTTGCTAAAGTATTGAACATGGTGTTGTTTAAATATTGCTTTTAAAATAAAACAGCGTTTTGTCAAAGCATGTATCAGGATAATTCACAACAAATATCAGTATAAAGGGAGAATAACATGAGTAGATTTGTTTTTGCTTTAAAAATATTTTGATTAAATATCTTTTACGACGGTCCTAAAGTTTTGTACTATCAAATGCTCTGGTGTTCATTGAATTGTCATGTAGCAAAAAACCTGAGCCTTCTGCTGGAAGAAGGGCAGCAGAAAATTGACAGGATTGTACTCTTGTTATGTTATCAAAATGGGGATGATGTCACTTTTACTGTTTTTTTTTCCAGGAAAGTAGTAAAGCAAATTCTTGTATATACAATGAAAAACGCTTTATATTGTGCCATTCTAGATTCCTTCACGGCAAAGACAGCAGAGTGAATGTTGTTACGATATTGATAACATTGTGATACCGATGTCATTGGTTGCCACCTCCAAGATCGAGAAGCTGCAGTATAAGGAAATAATTACACCCAGGTAGACTTTTTATTAAAAATTTTATTGTCATATCTAGCAGAAGGCTAGCATTGAAGGATCAAAAGAGTTCTCCAGGTATTGTTTCAAGCAGTAACTTTTACCATTGACCCTAAATCAGTCTAACTATTTGAGGACAACATGAGTAAATATAAAACAGTACATTATAGCAGAATTATTTTGAGGTCGTATAATTGGTCATGAAACTAAGTACATTTTTCTTTCATTAGGAAGTGAACATACACCTTGATAAAAATATCAGTCTTTTATTAAAATTATTAATAATTAATTGCATCAAAAAAATCATACTGATCGAGAAACGGACAGATAACAGACTGGACCAGCTTGTGTATGCTGTTGTTCATGTCCCTACTCATGTTGTGGTGTATAGTGCAAAATATCATACAAAATATAAAACTAAAAATTTTCCTGTCTTCAGTCTGTTAGATGCATATCACAGAATCTCCTCTTAGATTGCATAGAATTAAATTAATGTTCCTGTTAATATGCAGGCAGTTCAGACTGTGGTATAGATCTAACATGTAGTTTGATAATTTTGTCCTAAATCCTATCACAGTCGTAGAGTTATGCAGCACATAAATTCCATCAATGCTGACCAGGTTTTCTAAACCTGTCAGTTTATCAAGCTTTGTTGATTTTGTGATGTGTTAACACCTTGTGTACCATTTACCTGACATCTCAAAACCTGTATCACAAATGCATTTGATTTTGACACATGGAAAACCACCTTTCCTGAAGGAATGATTTGCTATTTTTTCCCCACTCCCTGACTCCCTACCATCTCCTGACAGCAGTCTCTTTTGCTTACCCATCATCCTTCACTGAGTGCTGGCAGGCTATTTCATCATATGAACTTCTCTGTCTCTCTCTCTCAGCCATCGGATAATGTTCAGGAGTAGAAGCACTGACTGAGTTTCCAGAGTGTTGATCAGACCATGTATTCCAAGAAGTATACAATGCATGTACTCCCTCTTTGAAAGAACAGTCCAATTCAGTCTTCTCATCTTTTCCCACAGTCTGCAATTTTATTGTCTTTTTACAAGTGTATTTCTAACTCACTTCTTGCATGTTACTAATGAATCTGCTTCCAGGCACAGTATTTCAAATCTTTTCTAGTCTCTCTCTGGCTCATCTGTCAATTACCTTCAGTCTGTGTCCTCTGGCTCATACCCGTATGTCAGTGGAAACAGTTTCTCCCTCTCTGTCTGAAAGCCCTCACAACATTTTGAATAACCCAATTAAATGCTCCCTAAATCTTAATTGCTCTCAGGAGACAGATGTCAGTTTCTTAATCTCTGTACATAACGCATCTGATTGATACCATTCTGTTCAATCTTTGCATCTTCTCAAAGGCCTTTTAATATTTGAAAATTTGAGGCCCAGACTCTGTGCAGTTTTTTAAAATTAATGGATCATGAAGGGATCGTGAGCTTAACAAAGGTAATGGGCATTTGTGACTAAGGGCAGGTCAAGTAAAATTAGAATAATCTCAAAGTTAATGGCATGATATTGGAACATCAAGCATTTTCAACAAATCAGGCATTACAAAAGCACTGATGGAAATTTAATAAGTTTGACCGAATGTTTGTTATAGAGCTACGGTTAAAAAGTGACCTAGGTTGGGAACAATATATTTCAGGATACTTCAATTTTAGAAGTGATAGTCAAACTAGAAAAGGGAAAAGAGATCTTATTTATCTTGTAGATTAGACAAACCAAATCTAATTGTATGAAGGATGAGTTGGTGCAATGTGTGAAAATAGTTTTCTGTATCAGTTCCCTGTCAAACCAACAATTTTGGATTTGGTAATACATAGTTAGAAACGGTTGATTAATAAACTGGTGTGTCTAGACAAAAATAGCCACAATGTGAATTTCATGTCACGCTTGGAAGTGATTTGTTTAAGTCAGAAACTATGGTCTCAAATCTAATTCAAAGCAAACTACCTACATCTCTGCAGGAGTTCCTCAGGGTAGTGTCCTAGACCCAAAAATCTTCAGCTGCTTCATCAATGTCCTTCCCTCCATCATAAGGTCTCACGTGGGGATGTTTGCCCATGATTGCACGAAGTTCAGCACTATTCGCAACTTCTCAGATGCTGAAGCAGTCCATGTCCAAATACAAGAAGATCTGGACAATATCCAGGCTTGGACTGATAAGTAACAGGTTGCATTTGTGCCACACAAATGCCAGACTATGACTATCACCAACAAGAGAAAATCTAACCACTGCCTCTTAACATTCAATAGTGTTACCATCGCTGAATACCCCCACTATCAACATCCTGGGAGTTTTCATTGATAAGAAACTCATCTTGACTCACCACATAAACAGTGGCTACAAGAGCAGGGCAGAGGCTAGGAATAGTGTAGTGAGTAACTCACCTCCTGACTCCCCAAAGCCTGTTCACCATCTACAAGGCACAAATCGAGTGTGATAGAATATCCCCTGCTTGCCTGGATGAGTGCAGCCGCAACAGTGCTCAAGAACTTGACGCCATTCAGGACAAAGCAACCTGCTAGATTGACACTGCACCCACTCCCTCCACCACCAACGCTCAATTGCAGCAAGGTGTACTACCTACAAGATGCATTGTAGAAATTCACCAAAGATCCTCGGACATCACCTTCCAAACCCACGATCACTTCCATCTAGAAGGACAAGGGCAGTAGATATTTGGGAACACCACCTTCAAGTTCCCCTCCAAACCACTCCCCATCCTGACCTGGAAATTTATCGCTGTTCCTTCGCTGTCTTGGTCAAAATCCTGGTATTCCCTCCCTAATGGTTTTGTGGGTCAACCTGCAGCAGCTGGACTGCAGCGGTTCAAGAAGGCAGCTCACCACTACCTTCTCAAGGGCAACTAGGGACGGGCAATTAAATGCTGACCAGCCGGTGACACCCACACCCCACAAAATGAATTTTTTAAAAAAAACTTGCTTTGAGGCATGAATTGACTGAGGGTAGATTTGGACTGTACATTAAAAGACATTATGGTAGAGACGCAACATGAAGAACTAATACCTACTAAGCAAAAAAAAAATTAAGGAACAAAAATACGGCAGCACGGTGGCTCAGTGGTCAACACTGCTGCCTCGCAGCACCAGGGACCGGGGTTTGATTCCACCCTCGGGTAACTGTGTGGAGTTTGCACGTTCTCCCCGTGTCTGCGTGGGTTTCCTCCGGGTGCTCCGGTTTCCTCCCACAGTCCACAGGTGTGCCATGCTAAACGCATAGTGTCAGGGATGTCTAGGTTAGGTGGGTTAGACATGGGGAAATGCAGGGGTAGGGGAATGAGTTGGGGTGGGATGCTCTTCAGTGGGGTGGTGTGAACATGTTGAGCCAAATGGCCTGTTTCCACACTGCAGGTATTCTATGATTCTATGAAAAATCTTGCAGAAAAATTGCTCTGTGGCAAATGAGAAGTTAAAAATTGTATTAGATCAAAGGAAGAAGCTTACTGTTTGACTTAAAAGAAAACTAAGAGTGAAGTTAGGGAGGATTTTAGACTTTAGCTTAGGAAGATCAAGAAATTAATAAGGAAAAAATATACAAATGACTAAGTGGCACATTCTGAGAGAAAAGCATCAGCCATGTGAGTAAAAAGGAATTTATGAACACATTGAGGCCTTCACAGAAAAAGAAACTAAAAATGCCCTGGAAGTGATGAAGAATGGTGTATCTAGTTTTTGCAGGAATGAGGGTCTTAAATAAATCAATAGAAGTAAAGATATAGTATGGGAAGAATGAATAGGAGTAGGTAATGACAAGCGCATGGATCTGTCTGCCTTCGTCCTAGAGTTTTAAAAGAACTGGCTACAGAAATGGTGGATACATGGTTTTTACCTTCCAGGGTTCCTTGGCTTCGAGGGCATCTCCAAGCGTTGGAAGGTAGCAAACAAGCCTAATCCTGCTGTTTTTAAAAAAGAGGGAGGAGCAAAAATGGGGAGCTATTCTGGAATGTTTCAGATCCAAAACCTTAATAGGGACAGGAGTAGGCCATTCAGCCCCTTGAGCCTGCTCCTTATCCACTTTGCTGTCTATACTGTAAAGGCAGACACCAGATACTTGTTTAATATGTCTTGAATGAAAATTTGTCAAAAAAAAGAGAAATGGCTAAGGTAAGTGCTAAGGATGTTTTCCAGGGTTGCAGGATCTAGAAGACTGGATCACCGTCTCAGAATAAAGGATCAAGCTTTTAAGATTTCTTCAATCAGCATATTCAAAAATGGTCTCTTACTGTGCTCTGCCTTTCCTCATTTAAACTAGTTCTACTTTGGATTGGTACATCACTGACACCGCTAAAGCTTGTCACAGTGAATTGGTTGCCATGATTGCTTGCATAATAATGATTGTACTTCAGAAATAACCAGTTGACTACAAAAGTAAAATGCTGTGGTTGCTGAAAATCTGAAATAAACAAAAATTGCTGAAAATATTCAGTAGGTTTGGCAGAGAGAAACAGTTAACTTTTTTCCATTTGGAGATGTTTATTCATTTGCCAAGTGCTTTACTGAGGACGTTATACGTTATAAATGGAAACTGCATTTTTTTTCTGTAGTTGAGTGGATTTTGTAGTCAGCAGCAAAATCAACAATGATTCTGTAGTGATTACATTTTTTTTTTGAGGGGTGGGGAGTGTTTCTCAATATTCCCAAAGTTCCCAAGATGTGATAACTTTTTTCAATTCACATTAGTCTTGTTCACTGAAAAGCTGATGTATTATGATGTCTGCAGTGGATTCTGCCAAAGGTGGTGCTCCAGCTCCAACTGACAAAAGAAATAAATCATTTCAGAAACATCCCAAGACACTGTACAAGATTCATCCAATCATCTATTTAATCTGTTTTTAGTCTGCATGATTCCAACTGGATATCAGTTATTGTGATCTTTCTCATTCTTCATAAAGTACAAAACAGCTGTGTTCCAGCTCTTTATTCATACTTCAGTCTGGTTCTATGTTACATTGCTAAAGTTTGTGATATGTTGTTCTCACTGCTTTGCTCAAAATAGAATGCTTTTTCTCTGATGCAGCACAAATTTAAATTAAAAAACAAAAGTATCAAAGAGGAGGTGAGGAAATATGTTTTACACGATAGATATTGGAACAGTCAGGAATGCACTGCATTTAAATGACGTTGAATGGAAATTCAGCAGTAACGTTTGACAGTGAATTAAACGAAGTTGGGGAAGGAGAATTCACAGGGCCATGGGAAGGACAGGAGTGGGGCTAATTGGATAAGTAGCTAGCACAAGACCAACAGACCTACAGCTCACTCCTGTGCTATGCAATTCATAGGTTTGTTGACTGAATTTGCTTTCCTTTCTGTCAACAGCTGGCGAATTGTGCCCATCAAACCGTCAAAAGAACGACACACACCAGGGGAAGTGGTATGTTTGAAGTCAACAGCAACAGTTCCAATAACTGGTAGTGACTTTTATCAATGACCCCTTTACAATCATACTGATAACTCTGGGACTGCAACTGCCCAGCTGATTTTAGATCAGTTGCATTTCCCATTATTGATACTGGTTATAGTACTTGCCCTTTTTTGCTTTCCAGATCACTGGTCCCACCTGATATTTTATACCATTGTTATTGCTCTCATTGTACCAACATTTTAAGGACTGTACAATCCTATAATAACAACCCATCTTAGCCTTCTTCAAAAATTTTTGTATCCATATTAACCACCATCCCTCTATTCAGTTATTTGTTTCTTATTCTTTTCAATGAAAAATGTTTCCCCCCACTACTGAGAGATTTCTGTCATTTTAATGGCAGTGGCTTTTGGATGTCCTGTTAAGAGATTTGCAATACTTCACTAACATATAAACCGGACTTCCACCCTAAATTGGTTAGAGGTGGAAACTCTTATGCAATTGGCTGCCTTCTTAGGCAAGAAATAAGGGGAAAACTCCTGAAAGTCCTGGCACTTATTTTGGCAGGGCATCAGCATCCCTGCCTTTTTTTGTTATTGCTGCTTCTGCTTTTCTATTTCCTTATGCTCATGTTTTTTCTTAGTATAATCCTTGTGCAAACATTTTAACCAAGTTTATGTTAATTAAACAAGATTTTAGTTTCTGTTGGTCAATGTCCGCTTTATTCACAGCTAGAAGACATTTCAGATGAAGCATTTTCCTTACGGCATAAAAAGCATGAAAAATGGGAGCAGGCAAGATGGTTCCTGTGGGAGCAGAGCAAATGTCATCGAAGAGGCAACAGGCAAGTGTATTGATCCAGTATTGATTACAGTGTTGTTCTCTCTTCTTTACACTGCATACCAATATGGAGGACCCAAGGTTGCTATATATTTGGTTTACTGTTTTCATCTGACCTTGATGTTTCTTTTTAAGTAGGTACCATACTTAGTTGTATTGCAAGCAGTCATTTTGTTAAAGTTTCTCGTCTGCTAAAACTGCTAATTCCTTGCTTGGCTCAAACCTTGATACCTCACCCATCTAGCCTCCCCTCGTGTGCCTTAATGCCTTAATTCACGCTCTCTCTTACGAAGAGTACTAGGTACCAAGGGCTGTCAGTACTTAAGAAATCACAGACCAACGAAGGGTTATTGACTCCAGAATGTGAGAAGCTCTACTTTAAAAAAGATTGCTTGAAGTTTTTGTCTTCATCTCTGACCTCCACACAATGATAAAACAGAAGAATGCCGTGGAGCCCTTTGACCCATTGTGTCCATGCTGGTCAAAAACAATCAACTATTCTAATCCCATTTTCCAGCACGTGGCTCATAGTCTTTTATGCCTTGGCATCACAAGTGCACATCGAAATACTTCTTAAATGTTATGAGGGTTTCTGCCTCTACCATCCTTACAGGCAGTGAGTTCCAGATACCCATCACTGTCTGAGTGAAAAAGTTTTTCTCTCATCCCCTCCTAAACCTTCAGCAGTGGAGTTTTGGATGATTGCAGGTTTACTTCAATTTGCTGCTGAAATAACTCCACTGAGACTGGTGTCCTGTCACCAAATCACCCTTTATTTACGTGAAATGTCCTTCACAACAAGAGCAGTGTTCCACAGAGATTTGTGCTGGGTCTGCTGTCATTTGTCATTAATACAAATGATTTGGATGAGAATTTAGGAGGAATGGTTAGTAAGTTTGTGGATGACACCAAAATTGGTGATATAGTCGGCAATGAAGAAAGTTTTCTAAGGTTACAAAAGGATCTTGATCAATCAAGCCAACGGACTGAGGAATGGCAGATGGAGTTCAGTTTGGATAAATGTGAGGTAATGCATTTTAGTAAGGCAAACAAGGGCATGAATTGTACAACCCGAGGCAGCGTTGTTGAACAAAGAGACGTTTGAGTTCAGGTACATAGTTCTTAAAGTTGTGTCACAAGTAGAGAGTGGGTTTAGCATGCTTGCCTTCATTGCTCAGAACATTGAGTACAGGATTTGGTCATGTTGAGGTTGTACAGGACATTAAGGCCACTTTTGGAGTACCGTGTCTATTATAGGAAGGGTATTACTAAATTGGAGAAGATTCATAGTTCATAGAATCCCTATGGTGTGGAAACAGGCCCTTCGGCGCAACAAGTCCACACCAACCCTCGGAGCATCCCACCCAGACCCGTCCCCCTAATCTACAGATCCCTGGACATTATGGGCAATTTAGCATGGCCAATCCACCTAGCCTGCACATCTTTGGACTGTGGGAGGAAACCGGAGCACCCAGAGGAAACCCACGCAGACACGGGGAGAATGTGCAAACTCCACACAAGGGATTTACCAGGATGTTGCCAGGACTAGAGGTCTTGAGTTACAAGGAGAGGCTGGATAGGCTGAGACTTTTTTCACTGGCATGTAGAAAGATGAGGGGTGACCTTATAGAGGTTTGTAAAATCATGTGGGACATAGATAAGTGAATAACAAACGCTTTTTCCCTTCGGTGGGGGAGTTGAACTAGAGGGCATACCTTTTAAGGTGGGAGGAGAAAGATTTAAACTGGATCGGAGGATAATGGTGCTTTGTATGTGAATAAACTGCCAGAGGAAGTGGTGAGCTTTGGATAGGTACATGAATAGGAAAGGTTTGGAGGGATATGGGCCAAATGTAGGCACGTGGGACTAGTTTAGTTTGTGAAACTTAGTCGGCATGGATGAGTTGGACCGAAGGGTCTGTTTCCACGAAGGGGAAAAGCTTCTTAATGTCTATCTATGTCCCTCATGATTGAGATATATAAAATTATGTCCCCTCTCAATTTTCTCTGATCTAAGGAATTTACAAGAGTCAGCCCTGCAATTGTGGATTTGACACACATTTGCATTTACTTTTCAGATCTATCCTGACCAGTTTCATGTGGCTGGAGATGATAGATTAGGGAATAGAATGATTCTGCAACTCACGTTCTTGGATAGCACCTTCCAAACCTGTGACCTTTTCCCATCCAGAAGCAAAAGGCATCGGATCCATAGAAACACCACATGCAATTTCCCCACCAAGTTGTTTACATCTGACTTGAAACTGCTCTTTCACTGTGCTACTGGGTCAACACCCTTAACAGCATTGTGGGTGTACTCCAAGAACTGCAGCAGTTTAGTAAGACAGCTCACCACAATCACTACAGTTAGGGATGGGAAATAAATGAGAGGTCACCACTTTGGATCTGAGAAAGGATAGAACACAGTAGTTTCTAAATGTTGAGAAAGTAGAAATACAGGGTGTCCTGACTTCAGGTCTGGTTTATTTTCCTCAAAATGAATTTTAGAGAGGACACTCATGGGTTGTTGCTTGTACCCAGCTGCTGCCTGGTGGTGGCTTTTTGCACTTGGCCTGCACACATTTTTGTTGCCTACATAGCTGACTTGAGTCGTTGCTTTGTGGAACTTGTCCACATGGCTGTAGGGGCACTTCTGTTTTGGACAACCCCTTGGTTCGGGGATGTTGCTATGATAAAGTTCTGCCATAAAAACATTGTGACAAATTGCTGCATGAGATTTCCAGTCTGAATCATGTGCTGACATCAAAGTGAAACAATAGTAAACACGTTGACTTTAAATGTGAAATACCTTTTAATAGAGATGCAGATATACTGATCATTTAAAATACCATGAACCAGTAAATAAATCATTAGTAAGCTTAATACAGGTTCAAATGAGGCATTCAGGAGGCATTATAAGTGATTACTAAAAATAATGTGCAAGGTTACAAGGGAGAGAGACTGAGTCAAGTCATGTTCTTTTGGAGAGCCAGTGTACACATGATGGGCCGAATAGCTTCCTCCTTCACGTTAAGAATTTTGATAGTATAGCTTATGACTCCTTCCATCACTTTGCCAATGACTGAGAGTAAACTGATGGGATAGTAATTGGCTAATCTGGATTTGTCGTGCTTTTTGTGTACAGGACATACCTGGGTAGAGTTGTAGTTGGGCTGGAACAACTTGTTGAGCTGCACATCACTTTCTGGAGCACAAGTTTTCAGTACCATTGCTGGAATGTTGTCAGACATTTCTTGATATCATGTGGAGTGAATCAAATTGCCTGGAGACTGGCGTATATGACGCATAGGACCACTGGTGGAGGCTGAGATGGATCATCCAGTTGGCCCTTGTGACTGCAGATTGTTGCGAATGCTTCAGCCTTCTCTTCTGCATTGATGGTGTGGGCTTCCCCATTGAGGATAGGGATATTTGTGGAATCCTACCCCTCCTGTTATTTAATCGTCCACCACAGTTCATGATTGGATGTGGCAGGACTGCAGAGCTTGGATCTTGCCATAGATGCTACCAAACCTTCTGAGTTTCTCTGCTATTTTCTGTTTTAATTTTTGATCTGTTCTGTTGGTTATGCGATTGCTTGGCCCTTGTATTGCATACTGCTTGTCGTGCTACTGGTCTTGGGTCATATCAGGTTGACTTCTCATGCCTGGTGCTACTCCTGGCATGCTGTCTTGCACTCTTCATTGAACCAGGATTAGTCTTCTGTCTGGTGTTGTCTTAAAATCTTTTTGCTACAGTTTTGTCCATTCCCTTGACTTATAAATATGATGTTACACTATTATCTACACTAGTTACAATGCAACCTATTTTTGTGTCTTTGGAAATTTCTAGACACACTAACTTTACAAATTGCACCCCCCAAAATGTATTATTTCAAGGGAAGTGGTCGTTCTGAACTTGCTTCCTGATATTGAAATTATTTTTATGGCCTTTTAGCTTATCAATCTTTATTTTTTCCTTTAGGTCATCATCCTTCAGTAAGAATAATGATGAGCATTTGAATCCTCACCTTCCAGCTTCTCCAGATATTCAAAACCAACTCAACTGTACTAGCTCAGGGTGCTGTGTTTCTGAGGTGGCACAGACTGAAGAGCCTCAGGATTTACATCTAGAGGGAGGGACCAATGCAAAGGTAGGTTGGAGAAAATGTGTTTCTGTTATCTTGTTAATGTTATCTTTGTGTTAATATATATAATTTCAATTCTGTAGCCACTTCTGTTGTTTCTAATAGGTATTTATGTTTATAATAAATCTTGAGGATGCATGTTTCGTTGTCCTTTATGGGCAGGACAGTAGCTGTGGTTAGCACTGCTGCCTCACAGCACCAGGGACCCAGGTTCAATTCCAGCCTCCGGTAACTGTCTGTGTGGAGTTTACACATTCTCTCAGCTGTCTGCGTGGGTTTCCTCCCACAGTCCAAAGATGTGCAGATTAGGTGGATTTGCCATGCTAAATTGCTCATAGTGTCCAGGGGTGTATAAATTAGGTGGATTAGCCATGGGATATGCAGGGTTACAGGGATGGCGGGGGTGGGACACTAAGAGTTTCTATAGGTACGTGAAGAGAAAGAGATTGGTGAAAACAAATATAGGTCTCCTACAGACAGGAACAGGGTAATGTATAATAGAGGACAAAGAAATGGTTGAGCAACTGAATACATACTTTAGATCTGTCCTCACAAAAGAGGACACAAATCAGATACCAGAAATGTTGGAGAATGCAAGATTTAGTGAGAGGGAAGAATTGCGGGAGATCAATATTAGTAGAGAAATGATGTTGGGAAAATTGATGGGATTGAAGGCTGATAAATCCCCAGGGCCTGATAATCTATATCCCAGAGTACTTTAGGAAGTTGCTCTAGAAATAGTGGATGCATTGGTGGTCATCTTCAGGATTCTGTAGACTTTGGAACAGTCCCTGCAGATTGGAGGGTAGCTAATGTCCACTCCAATATTCAAAAAGGGAGAAAACCAGGAATTATAGACCAGTAAGCCTAACATTGGTAGTATGGAAAATTCTTGAATCCATTATCAACGAGTTTATAGCAGAGCATTTAGAAAGCAATGGCAGGATCAGACACAGTCAGCATGGATTAACAAAGGGGAAATCAAGCTTGGGAAATTAGTTGGAATTCTATGAAGATGTAATAAGTAGAGTTGACAAGGGACAGTTGATGTAGTATATTTGGACTTTTAGAAAGCGTTTGACAAAATCCCGCATAAGAGATTAAGATTATTGCACAAGATTAAAGCACATGGAATTGGGGGAAGTGTATTGAGATGGATAGGAACCTGGTTGGCAGAGAGGAAACAAAGAGTAGGAATTAGTGAGTCCTTTTCAAATTGGCAGGCAGTAACTAGTGGGGTGCCACAGGGATCGGTGCTGGGTGTCCAGCTATTCACAATATATATTAATGATTTGGATGAGAGAACAAAATGTAACATCTCCAAGTTTGCAGATGATACCAAGTTGGGTGGGAGGGTGAAATGTGACGAGGATACAGAGATCCTTCAGCATGATCTCCACAGGTTAGTTGAGTGGGCAAATCAATAGCAGATGCACTATAATTTGGATAAATGTGAGGTTATTCACTTTGGAAGCAAAAACAAGAAGGCACATTACTACCTGAATGGCTGTAAATTGGGAGAGTGGAGTGTGCAGCAGGACCTGGCTGTCCTTGTGTACCAGTCACTGAAGGTAAGCATGCAGGTGTAGCAGGCGGTTAAGAAGGCAAATGGTATGTTGGCCTTCATTGCGAGAGGTTTTGAGTGCAGGAGCAGGGATGTGATGATGCGTTTATGCAAGGCCTTGGTAAGGCCACACCTAGAATATTGTGTGCAGTTTTAGTCTCCTTTTCTGAGGAGGGATGCTCTTGCTCTTGAGGGAGTGCAGCGAAGCTTTACCAGGTTGATTCCAGGGATGGTGGGACTGACATATGAGGAGAGATTGACTGACTAGGTTAGGATTGTTTTTGCTGGAGTTCAGACGAGTGAGGGAGTATCTCATAGAGACTTATGAAATTCTAACAGGACTGGACAGGGTAGATGCAGGGAGGATGTTCCTGATGGTATATATGTCTAGAACCAGGGGCCACAGCCTGAGGATTTAGGGTAGACCATTTAAGACTGAGATGAGGAGACGTTTCTTTACCTCAAGAGTGGTGAGCCTGTGGAATTCATTACCACAGGATGTTGATGCCAAAGCATTGAATTTATTCAAGAGGTGGCTAGCTTGGGGCAAATGAGATCAAAGGTTACGGAGGGAAGCAGGCTTAGGCTTTTGAGTTGGACGATCAATGATCATGGTAATGGCAGAGCAGGCTCCAAGGGCAGAATGGCCACCTGCTGCTCATATCTTCTATGTTTCTATGTATTACCTAATGTCCTCCTGATGGTCACCCTTTACAACCTCATATAAAATAGAGGCACTCTATTGGAATTATCTCCTGTAATATTCCATACATGACTGTGTTCACTTTGTGAAGTGATTTATGCCCAGTATCCAACACTGCTCATCTTTTGACTGATTGCCACAAGAGTTATAGAAAGGCATTCTGCATCTTGTTATGCTTCTGATTTCGGTTTTGGGTAAATTGTTGGAGGTGATTATAAAAGATAGGATTTATGGATATTTAGAGAGGCAAAAATTGATTTAGGGATAGTCAGCATGGTTTTGGGCAAGGAAAATAGTGTCTCACGAACTTGAGTTTTTTTTGAGGAAGTTACCAAAAAGATTGAGGGCAGAATAGTAGATGTTATTTACTTGGCCTTCAGTAAAGCCTTCGAAAAGCTTCTGCATGGTAGACTGATTTGTAAGGTTAGTTCACATGGGATTCAGGGTGAGCTTGCCAATTGGATACAAGTGGTGGTGCTTCTTGGACTGGAGGTCTGTGACCAGCGATGTTCCAGGGGGATCAGTTCTGGGTCCTCTTTTGTTTGTCATTTGTATAAATGATTCAGATGAAAATATAGAAGGCATGGTTAGCAAGTTTGCAGAAGACACCAAAATTGGTGGCATAATAGACAGTGAAGAAGGTTTTTTAAGATTACAAAGGGATTGTGATAAATTGGTCAATGGGCTGAAAAATGGCAAAAGGAGTTCAATCTAGATAAATGCAAGGTATTGCATTTTGGTACAACAAACAAGGGTAGGCCTTGTACAATTAATGGCACAGCATTGGGTAGTGTTGTAGAACATAGGGGTTCAGTACAAAATTCTTTAAGTTTGCGTCACATACAGACAGGGTAGTTAAAAAGGCACTTGGCATGCTTGTCTTCATTGCTCATTCCTTTTGAGTTGGGAAGTCATATTGAGGTTGTACAGGACATTGATGAGGCCTCTTCTGGAATACTGTGTCCATTTCTGGTCACCCAGTTATAGGAAGGATATTATTAAGCTGGAGAGGGTTCAGAAGAGATTTACCACGATGTTGCTAGGTATGAAAGGTTTGATTTATAAAGCAAGGCAGGATAGGCTGGGACTATAAGTTTATAAAATAATGAGGGGTAAAGATAGTCAGTGGTAGTTATCTTTTCCCTTTGGGGAATTTCTGGACTAGGGGCCACATTTTTATGGTGCGAGGATAGAGATTTTAAGAAGATATGAGGGGCAAATGTTCTTAGAGGATGGTTCACTTGTGCAATGAACTTCCTGAGGAAGTGGTGGATGTGCATGCAATTACAACATTTTAGAAGACATTTGGATAAATACATGGAAAGGAAAGGTTTGGAGGGATATGGGCCAGAGCAGGCAGGTGAGACTACTTTAGTTTGGGATTATGTTCAGCATGAACTGGTAGGACTGAAGGATCTGTTTCTATGCTATATGACTCTGACTCTATAGTGACTGTCTTACTGATTATATTAATCTTGCCTCCAGCAAGACACAGACAATCTGTGTAACAGATGGGAAACTATTTGACCTGCACTGCCATCAATCCAAAACCAGAATCATTTCATCCTCAATCCTAGAATCAGAATGTAAGCATGTAAGAGGTGGCATGGTGGCTCAGTGGTTAGCACTGCTGCCTCATGGCACCAGGACCCGGGTTCGATTCCATCCTTGGGCGACTGTCTGCCTGTGTGGGTTTCCTCCCACAGTCCAAAGATGTGCAGGCTAGGTGGATTGGCCATGCTAAATTGCCTGTAGTGTTCAGGGATGTGTAGATTAGGTGGGTTATAGAGGGATGGGTCTAGGTGGGGTGGACTTGTTGGGCCAAAGGGCCTGTTCCTTCACTGTAGGGATTCGATATATTAAAAAAAAAGAAAACCAATAGAATAACATACAGCACATGGTTCTGACTGTTCTTCATTAGTCATGTTTATCTTGGGTTTCTGTTAAATAATAGAACTGTAGAATTTTACAGCTCAGAAGGAGGCCATTCTTGTGTTTATATCAACTCACGAAAGAGCTACCCAGCTAATCCTACTCTTTAGCTTTATCTCTGTCGCCCTCTAACTTCATCGCTTTCAAATATATATTTAGCTCTCTTTTGAAGCCTCCTGTGAAATTTGCCTCCACTACTCTCCCAGGCAAGGCATTCCAAATCCTAACTTCTGAATAAAGCAGTTTCTCCTCATATCGCTCCTAGTTCTCTTGTTGACAGTCTTAAAATTGTGACCCCTAGTTATTGACATACCAAGAAAGGGAAACAGAATATCCTTCTTGACCCTGTCAAAATTGTTCATCATTTTGAACACCTCAGTAAGGTCACCTCCTCCTCCTCTGCTCCAAGGAGATTAAGCTCAATCTCGCTCATGTTTTCTTGTGTATCAAAAATCCTTCATTCCTGATATCATTCATTCTAGTAAATCTCATTTGAATTCTCTCCAGTATCTTTGCATAATCTTCCATATCTTTCCATAAATAAAGTGTCCTGAATTGAACACAACATTCCAAATGTGATCTTATCAATGATTTGTAAATCATTTCTTGCTTTTATATGTTATGCCTCTATAAATCCAGGATCCTATAAGCCACCTTAACAACTGTTTTAACTTGCCTGGCTGCTCCTGTACTCCCCTCAAAGTTGTGCCATTAAGCCTGTATTGTCTTTCCGTGTTTCTTATACCAAAATGCATTATCTTGCATATCTTTGCATTGAAATCCACGGGTGTCTGCCCACTTGCAATT